CCCTTCTAACCACGCACGCCTCACACAACCATGAAAAAGTGGAAAAGAATTCTTCCTTCGTCAGTTGTGAGTGTCGTGAGAGGCGACTAAAATGATGGGAGTGAGGGGATAGTAACCCCTTCTCCTGTATACATTACTGAATTTAAGAGAAACTCCCTCCCCACATTTTAGACCACCCTGCTTTAGTGGGATATGACCAGTTTGTTGAAAGATATATTTACATCATTAAAACAACACACACACACACACACACACACACACCCCACACACACACACATACACACACTAACACACACACACACACACACACGCTAACACACCACATGCTAACACACACACACGCTTACACACACACATGCTAACACACACACATGCTAACACACACACACTAACACACATATATGCTAACACACACACACAAACACACACACAAACACACACACACAAACACACACTAAAACACACACACACACACACACACTAAAACACACACACACACACACACACACACACACACACACACACACACACACACACACACACACACACACACACACAAAATAGGCTATTTCAAAAGTTGCCACTGAACTTCAATTTTCATTCTAATTGCCAAAAGCAACAGGAACTCATTTCCAAAGCCTGAGATACAGAGTTTATTATTCATACATTGTATCATATGGAAGCAAGTCTATAATGAGACACCATGTGGTTATTATTTTTACATAACAATGCTTCAGCTCAACTATAAAATCAAACATGCAACATATCTATCCTATCAAAATTGTCCCCTGAAGCTATTCTTAGTTTCTCTGCAGGCCTCATTAAACTGGACAATGTTTAATCTTGTTTTGAGACTTGACAGTAACATTTTATATACATTAATGCAATCCATTACATGGGAGTTATGCTCATATTTATATGGAAATCCTTTTCAAATAAATAAAAAAAATTAGCCTGCAAAACCCTTCTAACCCAAAATTTATCTTTTAACTCTAGGTGTCAACAAAACCTGCTTCTTGCAGGAGGGAGAGATGATGACTTTTTCAAGATTATATGAAATCTAATTTTTTCTAAGCCATATTTTTTAGACTTGCTATGAAACACATGGCAATACAGCTCGCTACAGGAAAAACTCTTAATATTATAAATAATCGAACGTTCAGCATTAGGCTATTGCGGTAAATGTTACCATAAACTTGATCATCCTATTAAAATTACTTGTACATGATTAATTCTTCTAGAACACTTACTTGCCACAATATGCTCAATGATACTCGTGTCCAGCAACAGAGCACAGTGAAAGAACACTAGACAGTCTTAGTAAATAAGAAGTTCAAATAATAACTTTATTCGTTGTCTGAACTGACATAGAGTAACACAAAAAGGTACTGTATGAAGACGAAGTATATTTGTATGACAATAAATACTGAACTGCTTATAATCAACTCCACAGGTATTTCAAAAGAAAATTCATTACAATAATGAGAGATTGTAAATTTACAGGAATAATGCTGCATGGTATGAAAATCATTTACATAATACTACATTTATTTATTTAATTTTATAAATATCTTCAAAACTCTTTTAGGCAATTAATGACAAACCACATGATGTCTCAGAAATATAAAATAGATTGAACACTCACCATCTGGGGTGGTCGTGACCCATCTCCAGTAAAGCTTTCCATAGGAAAGCTTTGGAGACTTCCATCTCCCTCCCATAGGGAAACAGAATTCTGAAAGAAGAAAATTTGTAATTAGAAAAAACTTGATCAAAACAATAATTCTTTTTATAATTCTTTATTTTTTCCTAACACAATTCCTGGTTTTGCCTAGTAATCTTTCCAGAAGTGCAAGGCTATCCCAATCCAAAGACCCAATAAACTGCAATATCCTTAACCATCTTTTAAATGTGTTTATTTTATTTTTTACCCCATTATCTAAAATAAAGGCCACGTGATCTTGCAATTCGTAATGTCATCCAAAATGAATCGTCAGTACACTTCTGGCAAGACATCTATTGAGTTAATTATGGTGAACAAGTTTCTTCTTTCTACTTACACCTAGGTCACACTACACATAAAATGTACACATTTATACACACTCATCTGAGTTTTCTTTGATTTTATCTTAATATTTCTTGTTCTTATTACATTTCCTTTTA